GTTGGAATAGAATTGAGGCTTCACTAACAGAGATATTTACAAGTAGTGATGTTGCTCCTGCAGATGTGGCTCAATGGATGGGTTGTGGGACTCAGTTGTTCCAGAGCACTCAGAGTGGCAATGAAGAGCTGGGTCTAGCAGAGATTTGAATGTCAGAGTGGCTGCATGCAAACCAGCTAGTCCACTGAACAAAGGAAATTTTGGGGTTTTATATGGGAAACTCAGCCTGGGGCAAAGTCCAGGTGTCCCGTGATCAATAGTCTAAATTTTATGAGGTAACCCTTCTGGGTGGGAACTTCCGAGGTGAGATTTGGGATGCAAATGGATATATTCCTGCTTAAGGCAGCCTACAAGACCTGATAGACAGGAACAAATATTGCACAGAAACTGGTGTATTGTTCCTTGATGGGATTCTCCTTGCCTCCCCCAAGATGTGTAGGTGAGTCACAGCCTCCTAGCAACTCCTAAACTAGCCGTTGTGACCGTCTTGCTAGGAATCTATGGCAGATACATTTATGATCATGGAGGGGTGAATCTCACCCTATTTCTTGGTAGTAAATGGAAGGCACTGAGGCATGGTAACACCTCCATATGCATGCTGTTTTTGAGCTATTGTCCTTTAAAGATGCTAAACAGAAGGCTATATTTCTATCAGGCATAAATAGAGTTCCCTTTGGCCCCACGATGGATTCAGAGCAGCACTCCATGCTGAACTTAAATATGGCAAAGACAACCCCAGTGCAATATTGCAAACAGAGGAGAATCTGGAACATATGTAATGTGAAGCTGAAGGGTGGCAGGGAGGAGGGGCGGAAACCGCAGGAAAAGCTTGTGGGTTGTCTAACACAGAAAATAATATTTCAGAACTGTCATATGCTGAGAATTACACAGTTTGATAAATTGAACTCCTGGAGGTCCTGCTATGTTTTGTGGTGTTACATTCCTGTCCTACATCTCCATAAAAATCTATTTTGTATTTCCATAAAATTGTGGGACAAGAATGAGCATCTCCATTTCACACAACCCTTCGTGGTGACCAATGAATTGTCATGAACTAGTGAGGGATATTTTTATATATGTATGTGTGTGTTTGGAGGGGTGAAAGAGGAAGAGAGAAAGCAAACAGTGAATAGCCAAGACCTTTTAGTTTTGGGCTTAGGGGTGTAGTGGAACCAGGGCCCACAGTGATGAAGCACGAGCACATTTGGATTGTCAGGACTGATGTACATCATCTGCCATTTTTGATATAAATCAATACTATGCTCCTTCATTTTCAGATTCTCCATGGAAGTGTGGCTGTGAGGAACTATCATAATGTGGGCTTGGGCTTCAAAATGTATCACTACACCACAGGTGGACCACAAATGGTCCAGAGAGGGCAAGGAGTTGGTCCATATCACCAGACTCCCCTTATAAGCCCAGAGGAAATGGGATTGTGACATGCAGGAGGTGACATTCAAGAGGAACATTTCCTGGCCACTGCCTTTCTATCACAAATCTGCATCACAAATCATCTCCTGCATGATTAAAATGACTGGATTATGAAGATGGCACATAAAGATGATGACATAAGCATGAGACAAATATTCCAGAAGCTTTTTTTTTTTCCTTTTGTACTTCAGCCCAATGTTTTGTTCCATCAAATCTGCTAAGTGCCTCCCATGTGCCCAGTTACTATTGTTTTGGCTACATGGAATCAGCTTTCTGAGAATGAGTTTATGATTAGAATATAGGAGGAATGGGATCCATGTGATCTTCCAGATGTTGTTGAACTCAGAGTCCCAACAGATCTAACCAGCATAGCTAGTGGTGCAGAATGTTGTGAGTTGCAATCCAAGAACATCTGGAGCATTTTGTGATTCCCATTCCTGATATATAGAATAATGATGACAGAATTTCATGGAAATGTTGCTGAGAAGATTAAAATCGTCTTTCTGCTGCAAACACTTTTTAACCAAACCAAAGATGCTTTCTTAATCTAGCTTATTAAACATGAAAACTGATCAGCGTCAAGTTGGGAGATTATGACAATATGGTAGCTCCCTTGAGTGACTGCCATCTTTTTACACCCACCAAAGTTTTCCACAGAAACTACAAATCATGAAGGGGGGGACCATCATAGAAAAGGACCTTTGGGAAAGGACTTTATCAAGAGTCTTCTCTCATATATCCAGATTGCACAATCACAGCAGTTTGATACCACTTGAACTGTTGTGGCTCCATCCCATGGAATCATAGGATTTATAGTTTCATGAGATACATCACATCTTCTGCCAGAGAGCTCTAACACTATATTTTATTTTAAGAGCCAGTGTGGGGTGTATCCACACTTCAGAATTAAAAGAGTTTGACACCACATTAACTGCTGTGACTCTATCCTACAGAACAGTGATTCCCAAACTTTAGTCATCCAGATGTTTTAGACTTCAGCCACCAG